CTGTTTGGATAGGGAAGAACTCAGACTGGGTGCCATTGTTCAGGTCACTGTTGTTCATGCCGTCGTGGAGTTACCTCATAATGGCAATGAATTTTGGTCGACAGCCAAACTGGCTTAGGGTGTGCCAGAGAGCTTCCCTGTTGACCGAGTCGAAGGCCTTGGTTAGATCCATGAAGGCCATGTACAGGTCATGTCGCTGTTTTCTGCACTTTTTCTGTATCTGGCGGGCAGCAAATATCATGTCAGTGGTGCCACATGATGGTCTAAAGCCACACCGAGATTCTGGGAGGAAGTTTTCCGCCTCCGGTAGTAGTCTGTTTAGGAGGACTCGGGCGATAATCTTGCCAGCTATGGACAGTAGCGAGATCCCGCTGTAGTTATGTTCTCCAGGAGAGAGTGGAGACGACTAGTAAGCAGAGGTCCTCCTGCTTTATACACCTCGGCTGGGATTCCATCAGGCCCTGAGGTTTTGTTATTTTTCATCTGTTTGATGGCAGTAGCTACCTCATCCAGGGATGGAGGATAGCTGAGATGGGTCAGCTCTGGATGCTGAGGGACCTGCTGGGTAGTCAGAACATCCACATCGGTGTTTCGGTTGATCAGCGAATGGTAGTGCTCTTTCCAGCGTTTATGGATGCCTTCATCTTTAATTAGGGAGTTACCGTTGGATGAGCAGATGGAGGCTGTGCCATGAGTGATTGGCCCATAAAATGTTTTAGTGGAATTAAAAATTTTGCGCACATCGAGTTGATTTGCAAGTTTTTGCATTTCAAATGCTTTATTTTTAAACCACTTGTTCTTTAGCTTGAGAAGTTCGTGCTGGTCCGCCGCTTTCTTCTTGCAGAAGGTATCAGCTTTGGTCCTAGACCGAGGGTTGTTCTGCCAGTCAGTTAAAGCAGCACGTTTATCACCGACGAGTACATTGATTTCCAGGTCATTTTCATCAAACCAGTCCTGGTGTATTCTTTCGACCTGGCCTAGGGTCTCTCTGCAGGTTGTTGTCATGACAGTGTCGAAATACTCCATTCGGCACTGGGATTTGGGTTGTTTGTTGTTGGGTTGTTTATCAGCCCATGTTCGAGCTGCTCTCTGAAATCATATGCTACCACTGGATCCTCCAGATGCTTAGTGTTAAAACCTCTTCTGAAGGCTTGTTGCCTTCGCCTTTTTGGGCCGATGTGAAGTGAGAGCTTGGCTCAGACGAGCCGATGATCAGTGTCGCAATGGTCTGAGCCACGCATTGCTCGGGTGATGAGGACATCTCGGCGATCTCGTTCTCTGACAATGATGTAGTCAATGAGATGCCAGTGCTTGGATCGTGGGTGATGTCACGAACCCTTGAACTTGTCGGCCTGTCTAAACAAGGTATTGGTGATAGTGAGGTTGTGTGCAGCACACCTGCTGAGGAGGAGTAGTCCGTTGGGATTACAGTTGCCAAGTCCATTTCTCCCTGTGGTTCCCTGCCAAATGTCAGTATCTCTACCAACTCTTGCATTGAAGTCACCAAGGAGCACAACCTTATCTTCTCTGGGATAGAGGTTAGCACTGTCAAGGTCGGCATAATAGACCTCATTGATGTCATCCTCTGCATCTAGTTTTGGGGCATATACACTGATGAAAAAGGCATGATGTGAGTGATTCAGTGGGATTCTGGGCGTCCTGAGGCGCTCGTTGATCCCAATAAGCATTCAGTTAGCCTGTGTAGAATGCGTTGGTGGATGGCAAAGCCAACTCTGTAAATGCGATTTCTCTCTGCAGCAGGTTTACTTTTCCAAAAGAAGGTATAGCCAGACCCCCGTTGTGTGAGTCCACCCCCGTCTGGGAGCCGGGACTCACTAATGGCTGCTATGTCGATGTTATACCAAGCCAGCTCTTTTGCCACAAAGGTCGGTTCTTCTTTCAGGACGTCACTTGTGCCAGTATCCAGAAGCGTCCTGCCATTCCATGCAGCGACCATAAGAGGTTCAATAGTTTGTTTGTTTTTTTATCTGTGATTATAATTGTGTTTCCGACCACATAAGAATAACCTTACTGGGTGCAGTTGCTTAGTCAGGTTGGTTCTTTAGGCAGGCTATGTTTAGGGCACCTTTTCTAGCCCCCTCCCCATGTGGGGTGAGCAGAGTAGCTCTTCGAAAGGGCTGCTCAGTCTCAGACGGGACCGGATTGCACTGCTGCCTAGATCCCAGTGCATAAACGACCATCTTATCAGTACCGCCCATTTGCAGAGTTGTGACTAGAGCCTCCCGGCAGCCATCTCTGCCTGTTCCCGTCGCCACTCGTCCGTCGCCATAGGACTTTTGGTTTGATCATGATGAGGAGTATGATGAACTGGATGATGGCTTCACGTGAGTTGATTTATATGGTGAGGCAGGAACGCAGACTGCAACCACACATCTTGGCTCTGCCTTTTCCTGATCTAGTAGTGCAAATGTTGCAACGACTGAGGAGAGGGAGAGTTGCAATGGACTGCCGATAGCCCAGTTTGTTGGGTTTCGCTTTAGTAGGCTGTCCATCATGCCTTGCCTTCTTCCGCCGGTGTAGTCGTTGGGCTCCCATGTTGGTCACCATTTCCGCCTATACCGCCGTTGGGTTCTTGTTGGAGTTCTGTAAGCAAGTCTGCCTGATGTGGGGCTCTGCCGGAGATTTTTCGTTCGGGGTTTACTCCTGTAGCCTTACACCTACCAAGGTCAATCTGCAAGATAGCAGGGCAGTGGTTGGTAGGCGCCAGGACGTGTCCACATGCCAGTGGGCCTATGCGCTGTCCCTCTGGGGCCCACTGCTACTCCGAGATCCCCTGCTGGTCTAGTCTGGGCACACACACACACACACACACACACACACTCCATATTTTTTCTTATATTTCTGCATTTTATTGCATTAATATTATTGGCATTATTAGTTGTTATAATTACCAATATTTATTACTATTTATGTTTTTGTTATATTATCATTTCATTAGTATTGGTTTTAGTCATTATTATCTGCCATTGCGGTATCATTATTATTACTCATTATCATCTATTATATTTTTCATAATAGTACTAATAACAATTACCTCTTTACCTACCTATTACCTGTCATTGTTTACATAGAGATAAATGGAACCCGTAGGGTCGAGCTTATGAGTAAGTTTATGTAAACCTGTGAACTTAATTACCATAACGTAAGAGCCTTAATGAAGCGGTGAGGCAGGTGAACAGGGGACTGACTCAGAGAAATTAAGTTATTTGTCTGTTTGTTTGGGATTTGATGGTTGTTTACTAGAGATGGTTTTCCTCCATGCCTTCCTTATAATAATAATAATAATGATGATGATGATGATGATGATGATAATGATAATAAAATAATGACGATAATAATAGTAGTAATAATGAGAATAATAATAATGAATTTAACGATAATTTTAATAATACTAGTAATAATAAGTAACAATCACTAATAATAGTAATAATAATTAATGAATAACACATAAATAATTATATAAACCAATAATAACAAAGAAACATGCACAATAAATAACAATACACAAGAAACTGATAATAATTTTTAAGCCACAGCAAAACAAAAGATATAATTGAAGACCCGGATTAAGGAACCATTGGACACATATATTCAATTAAAATTTGGGAAAGTTTAAAAAAAATGGATTAAGGAGATTAAGAAAAAAGTTATTCCCTCAGAAAAACTTTGGTAAAAAAAAATTTAAAGTTGGCAACAAACTCTGGAATATCTTTAAAAGTATTATAGTTTTTTGTTTAATGTTGTTTATTGAATTGAGATGGTGAGGGTTATAATGGTGTTTGGTGGATGGGTTATTAATAATACTTTGGTGGTCTTGTGTGTTTCTTTGGTTTTTAGGTTGTATTAAATTGGGTTGTTTTTAGATTATCGTGTCCAATGTGGTGGTGGTATCGTCAAAAAACAGTACAATACTAAGGTTTTCTTTTCTCATCAGTAAACTACCAAAAAAAATATTAATTGCAACTAATTTTTTACCAAACTCAAAAAATAATTCTCATATATTTTTTTTTTTACAGTAAGTCCAAAAAATTGTTATTACACGTCTTTTTTTTTTTATCTAACTCACAAACAATATTTACCAAAGGATAATTTATTGTTGTTATTAAACTTAGAAAAACAAAGTCTCGTAAGGTTGGATTTGTTTACCCTAAGTCATCTGAGTTTCCGACTCTTCTGATCTGACGTATTATGTTCCTTGTAAATGAGGGTTGTTCATTATTTTATTTCTTAAGGTTATTGTAGACTTAGTTTCGCTGTGCCTAAAGGTGAAACACTAATTAGTTTTCAAGGTAAGTCACTAATTAGTTTTCAAGGTAAGACACTTATGTGTTATCAAGGTAAGACACTAATTAGTTATCAAGGTAAGACACTAATTAGTTTTCAAGGTAAGACACTAATTAGTTTTCAAGGTTAATTAGTTTTCAAGGTAAATTTCTAATTAGTTTCCAAAACCCCCTAGAGTACACGATGTTGGTCTGTTCAGTACAATGAATCAGCCCAATGAGTGTGATATTTTAATTACTTGCAAACAATGACATAATTCCTTGAGTATAATGTCTCAATTCCTCTAACAGTATCCCTCATTATCTAACATTAACAGCATCCATCATTATCTAACATTAACAGCATCCCTCATTATCTAACATTAACAGCATCCCTCATTATCTAACATTAACAGCATCCATCATTATCTAACATTAAGAGCATCCCTCATTATCTAACATTAACAGCATCCATCATTATCTAACATTAACAGCATCCCTCATTATCTAACTTTAACAGCATCCCTCATTATCTAACATTAACAGCATCCATCATTATCTAACACTAACAGCATCCATCATTATCATCTTAAAATTAACAGCATTCCCTCGACCTTCCTACCAACCACCACCATCCCCTTTCACCATCCCCCCCACCCTAACCCCTATCATCTAATATATTCAATACTCATCATCCATTCATTTCCACCACCACAGAAACGTTGGGAGTATCTACGCAAGGCAGTCCGGAAGCTACTGGTGTATGACGTGCCAGCCGGGAGTGAGGTGGGCGTGGTGTTGTTCGATCAGACCTCCTACGTCAAGCTGCCCCTCACGCCCACCCCTTCCACCTTGGACGAACGACAGCGCTTGGCCACAGCTTCCATGCCCCGTAACCCCTCTACCATCCCCCAGAGCCAGAAGTGCATCATATGTGGACTCGAGCAAGCTGTCAGGGTGAGTGTTTCAACCACGATTATTATTATTATTTTTTTTATACTCACTACACTAGATATAGGAGTGTGTGTGTGTGTGTGTGTGTGTGTGTGTGTATGTGTATGTGTGTGTGTATGTGTGTGTGTGTGTGTGTGTGACATAGTTTATTTATACATCCTATTTTTATTTTATTTTTTAATTAAACATTACAACATTTCAGGAATTAAAATCAAGTCGACTACCTTCACAAGCCAGCCAGCTCTAAATTACCTACCTTAATGGGTGTTTATTTGACCTTGATCTGAATAGCGTTATTAATACTGAAGTGAATGGTAATTACCCCGGGTTCAGGTGATCACAATTACCTGAGCGTTGTCATTATGTCTTTATGGTCAGGAGGTCTCGTTAGTGTGTGCTCTCTCTCTCTCTCTCTCTCTCTCTCTCTCTCTCTCTCTCTCTCTCTCTCTCTCTCTGAAGATTAGGCACCCTAGCTACCTGGAGGGGTTGGGTTAGGTTAGGTTTGGTTAGGTTACTTATCAGGTGTAATAATATGTTTGTTCTACCATTTATCTTAGTTATTTAGTGTTTCATGTTATAGAGTTGTATTTTATATTGTTTCTTTCTCTTGTTATAATTCTTCTCTTCTTCTCCATATTTTTTCCTCTTCCCTGCTCCTCCCTTTTGTTTGCTCTACTGTTTTTCTCCTTTAATATTATAATAATAATAAATTTGTTATTTTTATTATTATTATTATTATTATTATTATTATTGCATTAATGACCATTGTACAGTAACTTTATCTTCAACATAAACATTTCTCTCCCCACAAGATGCTGGAGAATGGAGGCTGGGGAGCTGCAGGCGGGGTCATCCTGCTGGTCACATCTGGCTCACCTCTTCCCCTCACACCCTACGACGTCAAGCAGATGGGGGCGGCGGTGACGGAGAGAGGGGTCAAGGTGGTGCCCATCATCTACCCTGTCACTGACCGTAACCCCAAACCTACTTCAGGTGTGGAGAAGCTCGCCCAGCTCTCAGGTAAGTCTCCAGGTGTTAGTTAATTACAGGTGAATGGTCAGCTAACACTTAAGGTCCTGTCATAAGGTTGGGTGTTAGTTCCTCTTCAGCCTTGTGTCTCTGTCTTGTCTAGTTTTGTCGGTCGTGTGTGATCAAGTTATTAAGTCATATCTGGTAACTATTATGACGGATACCAGATTTACTTTAGTTATCCTATTGTAAAGGAAAACGGGAATACGAAAACAAAATCTATTGTTGAGTCTGTTGATGTTGAGTACATTCTTTTGAGTTCGTTGCTGTTGAGTATTGAGTCCATGGCTGATGAGTGTCTTTTGAGCCCAACGTATCTTTTTCCTCTTCCTCCTCTTTTGTCTTCTAAACTCTTGCTTCCAGACTTTATTCTTCTCCTTCTCCCACTTCTCCTACTCCTCCGTCACCAAACATCTTCCCCCTTCAAATTCCAAGTTTTCATCATCGTCTTCAAATTCCAGTCGCCTTCAGGTTTTTTTCCTTCTTCTTACTCCAAATTACATGTTTTTCTCCTCCTCCTCCTCCTTCAACTCTTTCTCTCCTCTAAACTTTCACCTCCTCAAGGTTTCCTCTTCCTGCAGAATCACAACTCTCTCTCTCTCTCTCTCCTGTCCCGCCCCTTCCATCTTCCCCTTCTTTATTTCTTTCCTCCAGACGTTTATCTCTCTCCTTCTCTCTCTCCTCTGCTCCGCCCCTTCTCACTCACTTCCATCACGGTCGTTCCACCAATGGCCGCCATCTTCTTCCCGTCCGTCATGACAATTCCGTTCATCAAACTTGTAACAATCTGGACTGGTCGTTTATATCCTCGGCGCCACCCTCAACAAAAATTCCAATTCCTCTGCTCGACTACCTGGCCTGAGCGCCGGCTTACATATCGATGAAGATCATATTTTTTCGTCATTGCCCATATACTGTAGTAGCGAGGGACGTGACCATGTTTTTTTTATAGATAGACTCTGTGTGTGTGTGTGTGTGTGTGTGTGTGTGTGTGTGTTTGTGTGTGTTTGTGTGTGTGCGGAAGACTACTGGGGGTATATTAGTTGAATTTGTAGTGTATGGTGTGGGTTTTTTTTCGTTTGGCTCGGTTAGTTTAGGTTAGTTTGATTAGGTTTCGTTTGGTTAGGCTTGGTAAATTTAAGCTGGCTAGGTTAGGTTAGTTTGGTTGAATTCCTACAACGATGGAGTCTCGTAGTACGGTTGAGCTGATCAGTGGCGAGTATTCCTGTATATCTCAGCATCCAGGGCATTAAATTTCTCTTAAGAGTGAATAGAAAAAATGGTTCTCCTTCTTGGGCAGTGAAATTTACCCTTTTAAACTATCATGCTCCTGACCTGACCTGACCTGACGGCATCATGAAGGGTAAACGAGGGTGTGACGCCGCCTCCCTCTGACTCCGTGTTTACATCGGGAGTCTTGTGATTTTGGGGCGAAATTCCTAGATTATCCTTAACGCATCTGCTTGAGACACCTGTCCTTACCGTATGCCCACACACTCTCCCTCAAGACCCCTGCTCTCTGCAATACGGGGGAAAACATCCAATATGTGAAGGTGTCTGAGCCAGCATTTAGATCCGGGTTGTGGTGGCCGGAATGACCTTTATTTTGAAGTTGTGGAAGACTTGTATGATGTGTAAGTCACCAGGATTATGGTGACGCTTTGGTATTGTGACATATTTTGGGTGATGGTGGGTGAGTGAGGCGCTTTACACTCACTCACACACACACACACACACACACACACACACACACACACACACACACACACACACAGACAACTTAAAGAAAAAATATAGAAAGGGGGAAAACAACTCCATACAGAAAAAAAAACAATAAAATGGAAAAAAATCCCCCAAAAGGAAAAAAGACACCCTGAGGGAAAAAAAAGACATCCTAACAATACATAGGCCTCTCGGCGTAATGTTCTACTGCCTCGTGCCTAACACAGTCTCTCTGGAAGGTCGTCCACTCCGTTCCTTCTCCTCTCACTATTTTTTTCCCTTGCTACTTTCCCTTCGTCTTTTCAATACATCTTTCTCTCTTTGTCTTATGCTTCTTATGTCCCTTACACAAACCCACGATTTGTATCTCTCTCTCTCTCTCTCTTACTTCCATTTTTCAGCATTTCAGTTTTCCACTCGGCCACGCTGTTTCAAGTCACTTTGCATAACACGCTCTTTTGAGATATATCTCGCTCCGTGTTAAACTTTTTCACACAGTCATTCTCCTTCATGCTTGCTGTTACGTGTTCTCTCATTCTTTCATATTTTTGAGACTGTGACGCGCGTCAGGAGGGAAATAAAGAGTTTCAATTCTTAACTTACTTGCTAAAAGGGTTGTGGCAGCCAGAGTGTATGAGTGTATATTGTAGTCGCCTCCTGTCCCAAGTGTCGCTAGTTGGATCCCAGGGCACTGCTGTCCACCCAGATGACATTACACCTGACGAAGTGAAGGAGGTCGAGTACAGTACCACCCACGCTGCCTCCTTTCGTACTGATGGCTCATATGGTGTACTGTGTTAACGCGGTCCCTATAGAACTCGCTTTCACTCTCCACCAGCTATAACCTCCCCATCATCACAATAATGGACTCGCCGGGTCTCCCCCTTGAAACTTATGGACTCTTAAATCTCTCAGCCAAAGCAACAGCACTTTCGGGTCACCATTTCAAAATAGAGACTCGGGGGAGAGGGGGGGGGGGAGGGGGGCTCTCCTACCGAAAATTTATTCTTTAGGTTTTTCTTCGTCCAGTATAATGGCCTCGTCTTGTCTCCTCCTCGAAAATGATGAGTTTTTCGGTTTCTTCGCTAAACTAAAGACGTCCCGGTCTCTACTGTTAATATAATTGACTATTCTGGGTCCGTCGTAGCCAAGGTAGTGTTTTCCAGTCTCCCCAAACTAATATATTGACTCTTAAGTCTCCCTCCGTCAAAAAGAGACTCCTTGTAGTCTTTTACTATCAGAATATGGACTCTTCCAGGCCAGACTAGTGGACTAGTCTTGTGTTTCCGAGTTGAAATGAGTTTTATGTAATACAAACGCAAATAATGTATTCCTTTCGGTTTTCCTTGCCCAAATAATGTTTTCTTCTATGGACTCCCCTGCCAAAATAATGGATTCTTCTATTGACTCCCCTGCCAAAATAATGGCTTCTTCTGTGGACTCCCCTGCCAAAATTATGGATTCTACTGTGGACTCCCCCTCCAAAATAATGGATTCTTCTTTGGACTCCCCCCTCCAGAATAATGGGTTCTTCTGTGGACTTCCCAATCACGCCTCCCAAAGAAATAAACACACTCGGGGTTTACTTGGATAAAACGGTATTCTCTCAGAGACTCAAAATAAAGAATTCATCTGGTGACTCCTCTGACGGCAGGATAAACTGCTGTCGTTAGTAATTGATATTTTAACCTTATCGCCATCGGAACGTTAACCACTTCGTAGAGAGAACGTTATAATATTGTAACTTTAACCGCCTTTGTTTACCTAACACAACTGATCCTCAATTGTCTATGTTTCGACAATTAAATCCTCTTTTCCCCGTTTTCTATCACCTTTAACCCTATTTCTAATTTTCTCTTATGGTACACTTTACTATTTTTCATTCACGTAAATAAACGCAAATTTCCCTCATTTCTAGTTGATAAAGTGTATTTAAAATGTTCTTTCTCCCTTTAAAAAATTAGATCACCTGAATACGAGACACCCAGCTTATTTAACCTGATGATTAAATAACCAAGTACTTCCTGAAGGGTTAGGTTTTGGTAAGATAGGGTTAAAGCTAGTTTCGATGACGTTAGTTTTAGGTTAGGTTAGATTAGTATTAGGTAAGAGTAGGTAAGGCTAGGGTATATTAGGTTAATTTTGGTTAGGCTAGACTAGGTAATTAATAGTAAGGTGAGATAACTTGTGGTCCTAATCTTCACCTAATCCTTATTCTTTTACCTAAGTGAATCTTCGGACTAACTTACACACACACGTAATTATGGTAATGCAAGTAGTTCTGTACACTGACGGGAAGTAACGTGACCAAAAATCTTAATGTAGGAATTATTCTCCAGTTTCATAGTCAGGTTGAGTGTTTCCTGGGTGTTGCTGAGTGTTTCCTGGGTGTTGCTGAGTGTTTCCTGGGTGTTTCTGGGTGTTTCTTGAGTGTTTCCTGGGTGTTTCTGGGTGTTTCCTGGGTGTTGCTGAGTGTTTCCTAGGTGTTGTTGAATATTTCCTAGGTGATGTTGGGTGTTGTTGGTGTTACTGGGTGTTGCTGAGTGTTTCTTGGGTGTTGTCTCCACCAGCACCATCACAACACACCATCACACAACCACCTCCACACCACCACCTCACCACCACCAGCACTATATCCCAACCATCATCACCAACACATCACCACCATCATCACACCACAAGTTACAGCTCCTGAATGATGGCTAAGATGAGACATTCTGGTAGGTAGGCAGGTAATCAATCCTGGTGGAGTTATGGAGTTGTGTGTGTCTTTGAGGAGTACTCGGGCATCATTACGACGCTGAGTCCACAAGACGCCCAAAATTACTCCCAACTTAGAATCCAATCTCGTCGAGGAAAGTTGAAGACTCTTGTTGATTCATCTCGTCTTCGGTGACCAAAAGTTCCCCCTGTGGATATGTTGTGAGTATGATATGTAAAGAGGTCGGGTGGGTGAGGGAGAGGCATCTTGTCGACCTCCTTAACGTAAAGATACGTAGGTCGTTTAGATGGTTTGTCGAAATATTTTGAGTGTGGGGGTAAGGTTGGTACTGTGGGCGGTGGCATAGGGGTAGGATGGGGTGAATGTTGTGTGGGGGTTGGATAGGGGTGGGGTGGGTGTTGTGGGGTTGGATAGGGGTGGGGTGGGTGTTGTGGGGTTGGATAGGGGTGGGGTGGGTGTTGTGGGGTTGGATGGAGGTTGTGGGGGTTGGATAGGGGTGGGGAGCGGTGGCAGGGAGGAAGAGGTAGAGTTCTCTGTCTTGAGAGAG